GAAAATATTCATGTTACCTTAAATTTCCTACAAATCAACTTCTACCTCTAGAGTTGAAAGATAACCTATTTAAATACATGAGTGCACCCCATATAGCACCCATGTATTCCAATGAAAGGAGACCCAGTTATTTCTTTTGCAAATCTTTGCTTACAGGGGGTTATCCTGAAGATTCACAAGTTAATCTACTTAGAGCATAATGCTGTACCCCTGATTCACAGAAAAAACTTGATGAACACTAGCTATTACCTTCAGAGTCTATAATATATTCCTCTATAGTTTTGTAAGGATATCCTTTTTTTTTTTTTGGAAATAGCCAAGTTACTTGAAACTGTATCTGTTAAGTAAGTACAGAATACTGATTCTGCTTTTTAAAAAACTAAGTGTTTTGGTTGGTAGCTTAATGATAAAGCTCTTGCTTAGAAACATGAGGCCCTGGGTTTGAGCCCCAGACCAAAAAAAGATTTAAAAATGAAGTGTTTTTGATAATATAGTGAGTACTTCCACAGTTAGTTAAAAAGTTACATTTAAAAAGTTAATTCTTGAATTTCACATATTTGGAATGTTTAGCTTCCCAAGATAAATTACTTGGAGACCATTACATGAAGAAATGATATGTAATGTGTTTCTTAAAAATTCACTCTGAATATCCAGGGAGTTCAAAAACTGAACTCCCAAAGAATCAATGATCCAACAAAGAAATGGGCAAATGAGCCTTTTCAAAGGAAGAAGTTCAAGTGGCTAAAAACACATAAAGAAATGCTCAACATCGCTGACCATAAAGGAAATGCAAATCAAAACCACTTTAAAATTCCACCTCACTCATCAAGAACACAACCATAAGGAAGAATGAAACCATGGGGTTTGAAGGTAAATGGGTGGAACTGGAGGACATCATGTTAAGTGAAGTAAGCCAGGTATAAAAAGAATAAGCTGCATGTTTTCTGTCATATGTGGGAGACAGACACAATACAAATGTAAGCAATATTATGAAAAACAGGTTATGCTAAAGAGAGGTCACTAAGGGGAGAGGCAGGGTAAAAGAAGGAAGTTAAGGTGAATGTGGATGATATACTTTTATGTAAGAATGAATATAGAATTTTTTAAACCTGTTGAAATCACCATAAGAAGGGGACTAAGGTAGAAAGGAGAAAAACAGAGGGCATGAACCAATTCAAGTTATAATACATATATATGTATATATAATACATACACACACACACATACATGGAAATGTCACAAGGAAACTCCTATAGAACTATCTAAACCAACAAAAATACCTTTTTTCAAAAACAGAACAGGAAGGTAAAACAGTTTCTTTCTGGGAGTTGGGAGTTGGTACCAGTGGTGGGGGAAGACATAAGGAAAGGGTGAGGCTGAATGTAGTGGAAATATTATATACATGTTTGAAAATGGAAAAATGAGACCTGTTGAAACTATTCCAGGAGTGGGGAGGGGTAAAAGAGAATGGAGGGTGAATCAACCATGACATAGTGTCAGCAGTTTTGTAAATGTCACAGTGTGCCCCTGTGCAACAATAACATAATACAAAATTCACTCTGAAAGCTTTATGGAAACATAAGTGTAACTGCTGTCCTAGGGAAGAGGCCCAACTCCAGGGCTTCCACATGTCAGGTCTGGCCACTCACCCAATGCACCAAATAGAGACAAGTAGTGGTGAAGGACAGAGAAAGATTTAGCCATGGCAGGGACATGCTGCAGAAAGAGACAATCTTCAGTCTTTAGTGTATAGACATGAGGGTTACAGAAGGGTTCCACGATGTCCGGTTTAAATAAAGGAAGAACTGGGATGTGGAAGAGAGGTGTTTATAATTACATAGTCCCCAGCAAAGTGCAGCCTCGTTGATCACAAATTATCTCAGGTTTGGTTCTGCAGGGGTTCTAGAGAAGTTATTACTGTCAACACTTGAGGGGATCAATCTGGTTTCCATGGAGATGATTACTCTTGCTCCAGGGTGCAGCTCATTACAGATCATTGTCCTCATTTGGGGGGTGGTCTGTCTTGTGAGTTCTGCTTGGGGGTAGTTTCAGTCCCTTGTCATGAAGATGTTATTCATCAGTCCTTCCTGGAACCCAAGATGATTACAGGACAGACAGACTCAAGAGTAAAGGAGACAGATACATAATGGAGGCAGGAATGGCAAACTTATATTAATTTCAGTTAACCTGTAAACCCAACTAGAGAGTCAGTGCTTTTTAGAAAAGGCAGCTTCTAACTGCCTACTATAGAAGGAAGCCTAAGGCCTCTTGAGGGTGGCACTAAGTCACACAGATTTGTGGGCTGGACATAAACACAGTTGGGGTCTCACTGTAGGATCACAGCAGATACGTGATTACTGTGCTGGGAAAAACCCATAGATGGGCCTGCAAGAACTTCCCAGGAACAGTTGTCTTGCATAGGACAAGCTTATGGTAAGGGATTACCCAATTATTTGATGAAATTGTCTCTCATACTTTCAGTGGTGAGTTTTTAACCATAAGGCAAAATACCACGAAACAAAAAGGTTAAAATTAACGTCAGCTAAGCCATGTCATTTCCCTTTCTTCTTGGTTTTGAAATTCAACTTCCCCTTTATTTACAGGTGACCTATCTCAACCCATCTTCTGGTGAAGTGACTTAGGAAATGGAACAATTCACTATGATTTTAGCAGAGAACAAGACCTCTTCCATGCAGCCTGGCATGCACAGGTCTAGAGCTGCCTATGAAGGTATAATGCCTGCTGCTGTGTGCTCCATGGACCAGCAGCTGCTTTTTTTTTTTTTTTAAAGTGGGTGCTAGGAATCTTAGCTTCACCACTGAGCTACACCCCCAGACCTCTCTATATCTTAACAAGATCTCCAAGTGATGGGCCTGCACATTGATTGATGACCTGTTCCAGTCAACAGCCCACATCTCCTAGCTGCTTAGCCCATAACAGAGAGCTTGATAAGTCATAGGCTCTGATCTCAGACTAAGTACCTGCTTTGTTTGTTACTTCTCAGGACTCTATGATGACCAAAGGGGATCTGGGCCCATCCTGCCTCCCAGACTGCAATCTGCACCACTTCCTATTTTGCTCATTGCATTCTAGCCATGCTGGCTATGGGGGTCTGCCTGTAGCTTCTGCTGTAGGACCTCTGTGCAAGTAGAGAAGACAGCTTGTCTTCTCTGCCCGGCACTCCCTTCTTGTAATCTCTGCATGCCCAGCTTGTCACTTAGACCTCAGTCTAAATGTCTTCAGTGAGATCCTCCTGGGCCACCAATCTGGTCACTCTGATAAGTCATCTGTTCTAATTCTCTGCAAGGCACTTATCACGCTATCTGAGCGGGGACAATGACTGTTTTATTTGGGATTATAACCCCAGTGCCTTGAACTGTGCCTGCCACCCTGTATGCTCAATACTATGTGTTCAATCAATGGCTATTCCGCAAAGCCACTCTGGAAAACATAAGGCTCCAGATGAATGGCAAATCCTTTTACTTCATAGATACCCTTCTTTGCCTTCACAGACTGATTTGTCTTGGCAATGCAGCAATATTCCACTGCTTACTCTCCCAAACTATACTATGTAACTGAAAACCTATAGACTTTTCTTTTCCTTTTTTGGTGGTATTGGGATTTGAACTCAAGGCCTCATGCTTGCTAGCCAGATGCTCTATCACTTGAACCACACCTCAGTTTTTTACTTTTATTTTTCAGATAGGGTCTCACTTTTGCCTGGAGTGGCCTCAGACTGCGATCCTATTTATGCCTACTGAGTATCTAGAATTACAGATGTGTAACACCATATCTAGCTTGTTTGTAGGGATAGGTCTCACTGACTTTTTGCCCACAACTACGATCCTCTTCATCTCCATCTCCTGAGAAGCTGAGATTATAGATGTGCCCCACCATCTCTCGCCCTTCTCTTTAGTTTTTAAAAATTTTTATTTGAGCCAGGTGCTGGTGGCTCACACCTGTAATCCTAGTTCCGTGGGAGCTGAGATCGGGAGGATTGTGGTTCAAGGCCAGTTGGGGCAAAGTTTGTGAGACCCCCATCTCCAAAATAACCAAAGCAAAATGGACTGGAGATGTAGCTCAAGCAGTAGAGTACCTGCTTTATAAGTGCAAAGCACTGAGTTCAAACCCCAGTCTCAACAACCCCTCCCCCTGAAAAAAAATTATACGAAAAATTTTTTAAGACAGGATCTCATTATATAGCTCAGGCTGGCCTTGAACTTTCAGTCCTCTTTCTCAATCTCCTGAGTGCTGGAATTACAAGCATGCCCCGCTATACCTGACAACACTGGCTTTGATTTCGTGTTTTTACAGAATAATGGGTTTCGTTATATTTTCATACATGCATACAACTGTACTTCAAACATATTTGCACCCCCTCTAAGATCTCATTAAGCAAGAAACAACCGGAATGCTGGTTGCTTTTGATCAGTTTCAAGGAGATAATTCACTCCCTGTCTATACATCTTTCCTGTGGGTGTCAGCATTCCTTTTTACATCAGGTCATTCCATCCATTTTCTTGGACAAGGGAATAGCATAACTGATAAAAGCTACAGCTGGGATCACACTGTAGGATTGTTAGTGCCAGGGAAAGCCAGATGGCCTGAGACCAGGCTGCAGGTTGGTATCAGCAGGGAGAACCTACTATATTAGGTGGCAAGACACGAACTGTCCAAAGGCTCCTTCTGCCATGAGCCTGAAATTTCAGGGACTTACTGGTTTAGCTATGATTTCCAGTTAAGCAAGAGAAATTAAAACCAATTCCTGTTTTTATAGAAGTTAAAACCAATTTCTGTCTAATATATTCAAGGTTCCAAAAAAGTAGACCATAACTATTCTCTTTATTTACCACCTTCCGAGCAAGAAGGTTAAATAAGCTCTCCTGTTATCATCAGGTCAGGGCTAAATACATTCCCCTAACCTCAGACAGGAAAGCCTTTTTAAGAAGTACTTTTGGTTTCTTATTTTGAGCTCAAAAAATACCACAAAGGGAAAAGGCATACAAATTATTTATTTTCCTGGTGCGCACAATAAACAGAACAACGGCCCCACCTGCTGAGGCTGAGGAGGCAGGAAGGGGTAGGAATCCTGCCTCAGCTTTTATCAAAGTCCAAGTGGTCCAACAGCATCGCCAAGAGAAGTCTGCGTCTGGGGCAAGACTTCAGACTGATCTTAGGCACACAGTGATACAGGGCTTCTAATGTTTTCTGGGATCCCATGCCTTCATAGTTGTTTATTTTTAAATTAGCTGAACTGCTCCAGAAGCAACAAGAGGTGCAATGGTTTTATATCGGATCAAGTGCTGTGAGCCCACCTCCAAGTCAATTACATAATCCCTGAAAAAAAAAGATGTTCAGAGCTTAGCCAGCTCTCTATTGGGAGGAATGTTTCCAACTGTGAAAAAGACACACAACACTTACCTCTGTTCATCTGCTTCTGGTTCTACTAGTATGTTTTCTTGTCGTTCTTTCACTTTCAGAAACACATATGAATCCAGATCCGGTTTGGGAACTGCCAGAAAAATACTAATGTAATCAGAAAGTGACAGCTAAGAAGTCAATATGGGAAAAGTTGCTGGGGTTAATGGTAGGGACTACTGATGCATCCTGAGAGGGCAACATGGGGAGAGATTTGGTTCTTTACGGAAACCAGTCACTCAACAAACAGTGAGTACTTCAATGTGCAGGGAACTGCGCCCTCCTAACCCAACAGGGGCACATCCCCAAACCCCTAAGGATGCCTGAAAATGTGAACAGTACCAACCCTTTGTTTCTTCCTTTACATGTATGCCTATACTAAAGTTGCATTTACCAATTAGGCACAGTAAAAGTAATTTATGCACTATTATACTAATATACTGCAATAAAGTTATGTGAATATGGTTTCTTTCTCTCAAAATATCTTACTGTACTGTCCTCAGTCTTACCCTTGTGATGCTGTGGAACACAGCACAAGAGATGAAGTGAGGTGAATGATTACGTACTGTGAGGTAGTGTTAGGCTACTGCACAAGGATAACTTGAACTTAAGTATCATAGTACAGAGACAGGAGATCTGATAAGTGAGATTTCATCATGCTAGTCAGAATGGTGCACAATTTAAAACTTATGAATTGAGCTGGGTACCAGTGACTCACACCTGGAATCCCAGCTCCTTGAGAGGCTGAGATTAGAAGGATCACCGTTCCAGGCCAACTTGGACAAAAAGTTCCTGAGACTCCATCTCAGAGGAAGAAAGCTGGGTGTGATGGCACATGGCTGTCATCCCAGCTATAGCAGAAAGCATAAAATAGGAGGATTGTGGCCCAGGCCGGTATGGGCAAAAAGCGAAACTCTATCTCTAAAATAACCAGAGCAAAAAGGCTAGAGAATTGGCTCAAATGGTAGAGCATCTGCCTAGCAAGTGCGAAGCCCTGAGTTCAACTCCTAGTATCAGCAAAACAAACCAAACAAAAATACCTTATGAATTGCTTATTTCTAGGGTTTTTCTACTTAGTAATTTTGGATCATGGTTGGCCATGGGTAATAAGCCTCCAAAAGTAAAACCATGGATAGGGGAGGACTACTGCAGACTGTGGAAGATACAAGCAAGTGTAACACATGGTCTTTCTAGATGAGATAGAAACCAAGCATATGGTGAAGCATACATACACCCAATGATAGAGAGAAAAAAGAGCAGATGTGCACTTTCGAGACAAGCATAGGACTTAAAGAGGAAAAGTGAGCCTAAGATATAACACTAGACCTGAGGCAGAAATATGCTCAGGAAGACAGTTGTAAAGGAGTGTCAGAAAGCTGTCATGGTGACAGTCCTGAAAGTTACACTAGGGAAAATGATCTTAACTTGTAAGCGGTCCCTCCCTGATCCATTATAGGCTAAGAAACAGCTGCCGCCCTTCGCCTACTACATGGCACACTTCCAGTCAGTACATGCCCCATACTGGCTGCTCCTTGACAGCCTCTCCTCTCCTGGAGTCCATTTGTACCCAGAGGACTCCATTAGCTGCAGGGCCCAAGGAACCTACTGGCACCTCCTCATTTTAAGAGCCTGGCTCAGATTTCTACTGACCTTAGCTTCATCTTTAGGATGAACAGCTCCAAAGGTCTAAGGAGGGACCCCTGGCTATTCCAGGGCACTAGGACTATCAAAGACACTCCAACTTTACCAGTCAATTTGCCCCACTGGGTAGTTTCAGGTTCCAGAAACCGCTTGAGTTTCAATATGCCTGCCCCTGCCCCTATCCCGTCACTGTGATCTACAAAGTTCCATAGGCCTCAGCAAGACTGTGGGCACCTGGACTAATTAAGGAAGATCCTAATTTCACCAGGGCGGGCCAGACCCACCTCACAGCTTATAATCCAACATAAGAAACATGTGAGGATCAAGTAGAAGCACTGGGACAGCAGCCTGGATCCAGTTCCAGGAACACACAAACATGTCAACATTAGTCACTTGGTTGATGTGATCAACTGGATGAGGTGGCACTGGGAAGTGACTGGGGATATAATCCTTGGTCTTTTCCTGTTCTGCTAAGGTGCAGAGGAAAGTGGCTGACCAAGGAGTGACCTGAACTTGGACTGGATCTTTTATTTTCCTCAGGCAAGCTCAGCAGAACCACTAATTCAGAGTTCTACAAATCAGGTATTAAGGGGCTGGCTTACTCCAGGTGTTAAGGGCTAAATTGTGTCCCCTCAAAATTCTGATGTGGAAGCGGTAACTCTTGGTATTTTGGAGTAAGACTGTACTTGGAGAAATGACTTTTAGGAAGGTAATTATACTGAAATGAGGCCATTAGGGTGGGCTCTAATCCCACCTGACTGGTGTCCTCATAAGAAGAGATCAGGACACATGGAGAATGGTATTAGTGACAGAGGCCTGAGGGTGTTTGCTTGTTCCTTCTGTTCTGCTTGTGAGGACATACAGAGGACACCATGAGGGACAGGTTCTCACCAGACACCAAATCTGCTGGAGTCTTCATCTTGGACTTTCCAGCCTCCAGGACTGTGAGCAGCTCATCTAAGACACTGTTCCACTGCTACAGGGCTCTCAGCATAGTGCCCAGCCAAGCCAGGCCAGGCCAGAGAGGAGTTCCCAGAGCCCTGCTGTGCCTGTGGCCTTGGCACACCAGACTCAATTTGTGATTAAGGTGGATTCCAGTCTTCTGGAGAACCGTTTCATCTAGTTTGGCCAGAAAAGACTGAGGCATAGGGATTTCAACTATGAGCCAGAGGTGCCCAGGGACTGATCCAAGGTGAAGTATTCCTAAGTCCCTTCCTCAACTCAGCAGACTGCAGGAGCTGCAGAGGGCAGAGGTTTGGCCAAGCTGCCCTTTCCCCAGCTACTTTCCTTTTCTTCTCTCACATTCAATCCTGCTTCGCTACCGTATCAGAACTGAGGAGCCCTTGCTGGAGGCAGCAGGGCTCCGGGTGGTTCCCCAGTCTCCTATCTAGATCTTTCTTTCAGTTGGACAGTCCCTGCACATTCTGGAACCTGTGAGGAAACGACTGCCACCTCTGTGAGCAGAGGCCATGTCAGCCTGCCCTCCGTACCCATAACGCTTGAGAAGCCAGTGCACAATGGACACCTAGGATAGGCTGCTGAAGGGATATACATCTGCAGTGGCAGCCTTGAGGCTCGGCCTAACCCTAACACGAGGTAATACTGAACAGCACATTTGCTTTTGATTCGACCCTTCCTCTCTTCTCTTTACCGCTTAGCTACATACTCATTTCCTCATATTTGTGAAGAAAAAAGTGAGAACCAAGATCCTACTCTCAGGCATCCGAGCACATTTAGGATATAAACTCTGGCATCTTGATCTTGGGCTGGAAGAGAAGGTTCTACTTACCTGCCCTCAAGAGGTCCACCTTCTGTAAGTTAGGAGGCATATGCTTTAAGGCAACATTTTTAAGATAGGTCTCTGTGTGAGCCATATACCTGAAACACACAAGTTCAAATCATGGCACACATTCTGAGGAGTCACCAAACAACCATGGATGAGTCTCTGAGATGGGTTTTGTGGACATGACGACCAAACTCTTGCTCACAAGCCAACAACAGGCACTTGTGTGCTTCTTGCACTTCCCACTCACTCACTCTCTGGCAAAGGCAAACTCCTCCGGAGAAAGGCTGGCAGGCTCCCCCTCAGGGCGCATTTTCTCCTTCTCTAGGATGTGAGGGAAAAACTTCTCTATCTGTAAGGATAAACAAAAATCATGAAAACACCTGTCAGGATTCAAGTATCGAACATACTTTCTGAGAGGGTGAGGTTAGTCTAAAAACTGACAAGGGGCTAAGATGTAGCTCAGGGGTATAGCATATCCCTAGCATGTAAGGCCCTGAGTTTTTTGCCCAGCACAAGTAAAAAAAAAAAAAAAAAGTAAAACTTGACCAAATGGCAAGTCTTCCTGGTTAAGACTCTTTGTAATTATAAATCCTATGCTGCTCTGGGGCTGGGCCTTGAGGCTCATGCCTGTAATCCTAGCTACTCGGGAGGGAGAGATCTGGAAGGTAACAATTTAACGTTAGCAATGCCACCAATGTCTGTGCATGGTGGCATGTGCCTGTCATCTAGCTACTCAGGGAAGCACAAACAGGAGGCCTGCCTAGGCATAAAAAGCAGGACCCTATCTCAAAAATAACACAAAAAAGGGCTAGGGGCATGGCTTAAGTAGTGCTTGACTTCAAGAAGGCAGGTTTCCTAGAATTTAGAGAAAGGATAAAGACTCTAAAAAAGGACGACAATTCAAATGGGACAGGAGGCTTTCACTAAAGAAAATCTGAAAATACAACCGTAAATGATATTGAAGAGAAGGGACATCATTTAACACTTCTGTGTATGTACATGGTGTCCTATATAAGCTGAAATACATACAAAAGCTGGAAAGCTGTACACAGAAAACAAAAGCAAATATGATGACATTTAATTACGGGAATGAAACTAGAAATGAAGTTTAGAAAAGATGCTAAGGATTAAAAAAAAAACAAACAAACCAAATCCTCCCAGCCAAACCAAAAAGCTAAAAGCCACAAAAGGGAGGTGTCATTGTTGTTTCTCCCCAAGGAAATGTTCTTTGAAAGAAGGGGAAATGACAATGGTGAGCAGAGAACCATTATGTTCTGGATAAATTAACATTTGTATGAAGCCCTTTCTCTCACCATATGTAAATTGCTATTTGATCACTAGGGTAATAAAAACATATGTAAGTTTGGTATTGTGGCTCAAATCTGTAATCCCAGCTACTTGGGAAGTTGAGCTAGAAGGACCACAGTTCAAGCCTAGCTCAGGGAAAAAGTGAGAGATCCTGTCTGAAAAGTAAATACAAGAAAAAGGGCGAGAGCTGACAGAGTGGCTCAAGTGGTAGAGCACCTGCTTAGCAAGCATGAAGCCCTGAGTTCAGACCCATTTCCACCAAAAAGACATACATGTATGCGTCTGTGTGTGTAGTTTTATAATCTAAAATCATAAGGGGTGGGGGAAGATTGGAGACAGGTAAATTTTCTGATTTTCAAAACTGGAAAGAAGGTGGTGTAACTTCAGATATAGGCTAGTGGCCTTCAGGTTGACAAGTGGAACTATATTAGACAATTTTAAAATACGGGTTGTGAAAACAAAGAGAAGGATTAGTTAGCACAGAGGATTTACTTGCCTGAAAGGGGGAAAAAAGGTAAGTGGCCTGGTAGCTGGGGGTGGGGAGGCATACTGTAGTATAGATATACACATCTATCTTTTTTCTTTTACATTTCTTTTTCTTATGTATCTGTTTCTGTCTTTGTGATACCATTATGAACAAACTGCAAACCAGGGGCTAGGTGGAGGAATAAATTGGGAGGCTCCTAGGTGGTTGGTTCAGTAGCTGTCAACCTACAGATGGTGAACTACTCTTTTGTCATTGGCTAAATCCCATTAGTGAGTCAGATAGTTTTATAGCATACATATCAAAATTGCTGAAGATGTAAAATTCTAGGAGATATTTAGTGTATTAGGTGATAAGAAAGGGATTCAGCTAGTAGAGAAATGGCCCACTTTAATAAGATGACATTTAAGAGAGATAAATATCAAAGCCCATCGAGGAGTTAAAATCCAAGTCATACAAAGATAGAATGGTGCCTAGATGGAGTAATTACACCCTAAACACTTCACAAAGGGTTAAAGGTGAGTGTTGAAAGGCAGTGGGACATATCTATCCATCAAATCTGCTAGTGTGATCCTGGGTGGTGATGTTAACAGTTTAATATCCAGAGTAACAGAAGTGGTCGAGTGACAATTGAGAGACTGCATTTTGTTCCAGGTAGTATATATATTTAAGAAGGATACTGACAAACTAGGACCTTTTCAGAGACGAGATCAGGAGAGTAAATAGATTGAACTACTCATAGGTATAAGAGAGATGTGTTTGCTTTGTAATAACTAAGGAGACAAACAGGAACAGAAGAAATAAATTTTCAGAAAAGCAAGAATTTTCAAGAATTAAAACAGGTAACATACAAATTAAGTGTTTTACCATTTCATTTTTATAAGTTTGATGGCCACAGAGGTATAGTAGAATATCAAGACCTCATGGCCAATTTGACAGATGCAAAATAATTTTAAAAATAGTTTTCCCTAGTGAATATTCCCTTGTAATGTAAACAACCCTACCCTCAGCAGTGCCACTACACACCAAGGGTCAACAGGCTAAAAATTAGGTTGTATGACTTGCGTTTCTGCTATGCTTCCCAGAGTAATCTCTTGACCTCCTTACTCTTTGGTGAAACTGATGCTGGGCTCTTAGCACCATCTTCAGACCCTGTCCCCACTTCTCCCTGGGACATTCTGCAACATTACAAAATTCACTGTCTGTATGTCTGCAGGTATGTCTGTGTCCAACCTTCATGAGCCGACATCGCAAGTAGCTGCTAAGGGTGTAGCGGATCCTCTCCATCTCCATTCGATGGATACTGACCTTCAGATCCTCCTTTTTGGCTCTTCTGAGATTTTCTTCCTATGAAAAAGAAAAACTAAAGTTCAAACAACACCGATTTCCTTTGAAAATGATCATCTGAACAGAATCTCATTATGGCCAGTCCCAAAGGCCCAGACTCCAATCCAGCTGGAAAGGAGATAATGCAGCACACAGAGGGCACGTGTAAGGGCTCTAAAAAGCGGTGTTAGAAAAGGCAGTTGAGAAACTATAAAACACATATTAAGTCTACTTTGAAGTTGGTAATGACTTAAGTCCAGGTAAGGAACATGAGAAAGGTGGGTAGTTGGAATTATGGGGAGCAGGACAGCACATTGAAAGGGGGTGGCCTTTCACCTGCACTAGTCAACTTTTCTTATGTGGAAATGTGGGGCCAGTAAAGGTCTTTAGACTTTTCATGGGAAGCTGGCATCTAGGTATTTATAAGAACCCTCGTGTTTTATAACATAGATAACTTCAATAACATATAATATATAATTCAATATAGTTTTGAATATATAATTTAATATAATTCAATGTAGTTTTTAAAAAGTACCAGGCTGAACCAAACGAACAGATTTGCTATCAGGCTATACCCTCGCTACGCTGACTAAACACTTTTAACGTTCTCTTCCTTAGTAACTAGAGATAAGCAACGCTTACCATGTGATCTAGCTGTTCCATGACACATTCTACAATTTCAGACTTGCTTTCCAGCAGCTCAGGAGCAAACTTTTCATTCATCCATGCCTAAAGAAAAACATGAGAAGAGGGAATGTACCCATTTGGGTTATAATACATATATACATGGAAATGTCATAAGGAAATTCCCCATATAACCATCATAAACAAACAAAAAATGCCTTTTTTCAAAAACGGAGAATAGGAAGGTAAAACAGATCCCGTCTGGGGGTTGGTAACAGAGTGTGTGTGTGTGTGTGTGTGTGTGGGGGGGGTTTAAGAAAAGGGTGTAGGAGAGTAAATATGGTGTAAATACTGGGTACACATGTATGTAAATGAAAAAATGAGACCTGTTGAACTATTTCAGGAAATGGGGAAGGAGGGATAAAGGAGACTGATGGAGGGAGTGAATTCAACTATGATGTATTGTAGAACTTTTGTAAATGCCATAATGTACTCCCAGTACAACAGTAATGATAATAAAGAACATTTAAAAGAAAAAGACAAAAAAATTACTTGATAGAGTAGTATAGTTGACCTAAAATCCATGAAGATTTAACCATTCCTGGGAGGAGGGCTGCGAGGTTAGATAATGGGTACAAAAATACATTTGGAAGAAGAGATTAACATCTATAGCATGGTAGGTGGGAAGAGGGTAATTGTAGTCTAAAACTATTTTATATATTTCAAAATAACCCACCTCATAGAAATGATACATGTGTGAGGGACAAAAATGCTAATTACCCTGATTTGGTCATTATACCCAGTAAATATGTATAGAATTATCATACTCTAACCCATAAATCTGTACAAATATGAATGAATTTAAAAATACAGAAAAAAATAAAGAACATGAGAAAAGTGCACCTCTCAATGTGGCAAAACAACTAGCTGAGTGAGCCCATAGCCCGTGAAAATCAGATGGCTCTGAAGACAAAGATGTTTCATGATGGCTTTTCTATCTCTTCTTTTAGAGAGGGGGCTGTGTTCACAACCTTTTATTTGATCAAATTTTTAAAAACCACTGTTTACATCAGCTGTGTTACTTTTGCTGAGTAATGCCACCTGGTGTTCTAGCTGTACCTGTCACCAGGTTGCAGTACCAGAGAACACATTTCTATTTCCTCACCAGCTACTTCCCGCCAGGGCAACATCACTGTTTCTGTTGTGAGAGATAAACACTGTGAATCTACACATCTCCTCATACCTAAAGCTCAAGCACTCTGCAAATACTTTTCTCTCATTACTGCAATAACTGAGAGGAAACAGAAACCATTACTGATGAAAACACACAGACTGGCCTCAAAGTATAAAGGATCAAGAACAGAGTAGGTTAAGGTTTCAGATAATGAGATGAAACATCTTATTTATGACTCAGGCCCAGCTGCTTGGCATACTGTGTAGATTACTAAGGCTCAGAAAAATGGCATATCCTGAAGTGACTCAGGAAGCTATTCTTATCTCCCAATTACAGGACATTAGGTTTTAGCTTAGTTCAGAATTACATGCCAATCAGATTCAACCTATGTTTTCCAATATGCTTTAGTTTCTGCTCCCCAGTTATTACCATCATGACACATTAAATACTGGGTACTCTTACAGTCATAAAAACTCTTTCACGTCTAAAATCCTAGCTACTTGGGATGGCGAGATTGAGAGGCCAGCTTAGGCAAGTGGTTCTCGAGACTCCATCTCCAAAATAACCAAAGCAAAATGGACTGGATGTATGGCTCAAGCAGTAGTTCAAACCCCAGACAGACACAGACACACAGACACACACACACACACACCTTTCAAATTCTTGAACTTCTGTTAACCATGATGAAGTTATCCTGGGGACTGAGCCTTGCCCGTGTGAGCAAGTGTTCTACTGCTGAACTGCGTCACCCAGCCCTGCAACTATATAAATTAATCAGAAAGACAGCCTGTGCAAGAATAAGATCAGATTTTCTGGTGGACTTATCAAAAGCAGTTTCCTTGTCAGTAGATGGATATAAACATCTGTGTGTTATTTGAAAAGTCCTGTGTGTCCTGCCTCCTCAGAGGTAATCAGCAGTCTGAATCTAGTGTTTGGTTTTCTTGTTTCACTATAGCTGTTTATATTTCTACATGTGCTTCCCAACTTTTTAATGATGACACTCAAAGAAAATGATAAAGCTTGGAAGGCACACTGGGATAAAAGTTGATTTGGGGAAATCTTTCACATTATAAAAATGTGGTATTAAAATCTAAAACATTAGGGAAATTTTTCTCTGAGTATAAAACTTTAAAATATTTTCAAAATTTGTAGGAAACCTGTGTTTAAATAATGGTCTCAAAAAAAAAAATCAGGCTATGTGTAGTGGTTCAAAGCTGTAATCCTAGCTACTCGGGAAGTGGTTATTGGGAGGATTGAATTTGGAGGCCATCCAGGCAAAAAGTTTGTGAGACCCTATTTCAACCAAGAAGCAAAGTAAGGTGGTTCACCTCTGTAATTCCAGCTATTCAGAAAGCATAAATAGGAGGATAAAGGTTCAGGTCAGCCCCAGATATATAACTAAAGGAAAAAGGGCCTGGGGGTACAACTCAAGTGGTAGAACACCTGCCTAACAAGCACAATGCCTGGAGTTCAAACACCCCCAACTTCCAAAAAAAAAAAAAAATCAGGTTCAATGCTTGAAATGGCTCCATCTGGTTTCTTATCAAAACCATCCTTCCTTTTTTTTTTTTGTGATGCTGGGGATCAAACCTAGGGCTTTGTGCATGCTAGGAAGTGCTGTACCACCCAGCTATGCTTCCTTCCTGATCGGATTTTTTTTTTTTTTTTTTGGTGGTACTGGTGTTTGAACTCAGGGCCTCGCTGAGTGGTAGGCAGACACTCTAACACTTGCACCACTCCGCCAGCCCTGGTCAGAATTTTTAGTGACAGCCTGTTCATTACTGTTGGGCTGAATTGTGTCCCGCTCCGAAAATCCTTATGCTGGCTGAGGGTGTAGCTCAGTGATGGGCAGAGTGCTTGCTTAGCCTGTGCCAAGCTCTGGGCTCAGTCAACAGAACTGCAAAAACCCAAACCAAACAGTAACAAAACTCCCTATGTTGAAGTTTCACAAGCTTGTGAACTTTATGTAAATGGTTTCTTCTGCAACTTGTATTCTACCCCTCCCCCTTTATCTCATTTTGGCAGTGCTCAAGACCAAACCCACAGCTGTGCATGCCTGGCAAGCACTCTCTTTTTCCCCCGCTGTGTATATAAACTGGGGTTTTTTTGGTACTGGGTTTTGAATTCAGGGCCTCACTCTACCACTTGAGGCATGCCCCAGCCCTTTTCTGCTTTAGTTATTTTTTCCAATAGGGCCTCACACTTTTGCTAGGACAAGGCTGGACTTCAATCCTCCTATTTATGCTTCCCATGTGTCTGGGGTGACAGATATATACCACTATGCCCAACTTTATTGGTTGGGATGGGGTCTCATTAACTTTTTGTCTGGGCTGGTCTCCACCCTTGATCCTCCTGATCGCTGCCTCCTGAATAGCTGACATTACAGATGTGAGGCACAGTGCCCAGCCACGAGTTGCAATTTCTTATCCATTTTTGTTGTTGATCGATATCTGAGTTATTTTCATTTTTAACCATTTCAAGGAATGCTATGAACATACTGTGCATACATCCTGGAGTACACAGGGAATTTTAAGTAGTACCAGGGAAATATTACTGGTTCTCAAGACAGGTATATCTTCAACTTTGCTAGACAATAACAAATTATTTTCCAAAATAACTGTACCAGTTTGCACCCTCACTGAAGTACTAAATTGCAAATTATTCTACATTCTGCCACTTCAAATTGACACATCTTTTTAATTTTTGCCAATCTGACTGGTATGAAATGATACCTTATTGTGATTTTAATTTTCATGTTTCTGATTACTAAAAGGGTGAACATCTTTTTCATATGCTTACTGGCTACCTTGGTTTCTACTTCTGGAAAATGAATTCCTCCCCACTCCCCCCACCCCCAGCCCCAGAAATATGCAGAATTCTGCATGGGTACATATTTGTGTATTTCTTTGGTAACAAGGACCAGAGGGTTGCTTTTTTTTTTCCTTTCCTTAACTAGCTTCTTCTAGATCTGTTACATAAAAACAGATTAAGAATTCCTGTTAAGCTCAGGAGGCCGAGGCAGGAGGACTGTGAGCTCAAGGTCAGTGCGTTATGTAGTGGTTTTAAGCCAGACCTCAGTTACACAGTAAGATGTTGCTCAAAAATAAAAAATAATCAGGACTGGGAACATGACTCAAGTGATAAGAATGCTTGCTTAGCATGCTTGAGGCCCTGGCTTCCATCCCCAATACTATGAAAACCAAAAAAACTTTCCTTCAGTTTTGTCACTCATGATAGCACATACAGCAAGAACATGAAAGGAGAAAACATGAGAGTTCTGGAAAGGGCAGTTAAAGGGAGGGCAAAAGTAAGGAAGAGTGAATTAAGAGCATGTTGGAGCTGGAGTGTATCTCAGTGACAGAGTGTGTGCTTAGCATGTGCAAGGTCCTGGGTTCAAATGTGTTTTGGAGTCAGAGAGACCAGAGTTCATGCTCCTATGTGTGATCTTGGGTAAAAACATCTTTAAACTTCAGTTATTGCATCTGTAAAATAGATATTTTTACACATTTGGTGATTATCATGTGTCAGAAACATGTAAACACCTTACATACACCCTGTGAAGAAGCCACTATTATCTCCATTTTACAGTCCAGGAGGCTTAAGACGAGCTACACAACCTGCTTGAGGTCACACAACAGACTAAGGGCAGGGAGGGACATTTTTGGAGACAGGGTCTCACTATGTAGCCCAGGCTGCCCTTGAACTTTTGATCTTCCTGTCTCAGCCTCCCAAGAGTTGGAATTACAGGAGTAGTACCACCAGGCTTGGCTAATATAGAGCTATTTAGTTATCTATTTTAATCTAGATATTCTGAACTCCTCAATGAGCTTTATGCCAAGATCATTAAGCCAGCTTATTCTAGCTGGCTGTGTGGTGACACATGCTTGTCACTCCAGCACTTGGGAAGCTGAGGCAGGAGGAGCTTTAGTTTGAGGTCTACTGAAATATATATAATGAGACCCTTTTTTTGTTTGTTTTAGGAATTTAACACAGTTACTGGAACATGGGAAATACTCAATAAATCACTGACATTATGACTAAGAGGATAAATATCTCAGAAATTATTTTAGACAGGCAGTGGAAACATAAAGAACTGACTCAGGAAAATAAAGAATATGACTAGTTTTCCTTGAAGAAGGTACTTCCACACATTCTTGCTAACTCAGGCATTCTCCTGGGAGTCAGCAGGTAAGTCAAGGACTTCACAAGTCTGCAGAAACACCTGGACGGTATCTGCAAATTCCACATCCTTGCTCTGTGACATATTCCACTAATTATGCCCAAAGCTGTCCTTTGCTAGCCCAACGTGTGAAGACTTGGTTTATTATGACGTTTCTAAGAGGGTGTCCTCCCACTTCTATCTCTGTGTAGACGATGGGACCCAGTCTTGGATTCCATCTCCCCATTCTGCAGCCCCGGATGTCTACCTGCTCCAGCCTCTCGATGAGCTCCGCGGGCGTCAGGACCACCTCCTCACTGCCCCCATCGGAGTCCAGGCCCGCGAGGTCCACTTCCTCTGCCATGGTCTCCGGAACCAGACGATGCGAGAAGCAACACCCTGCAGGTGTTTCCCGTTTACTTGAAGAGCAGTAGGTGCCTGGCTGGAGACGTGGCGGGTAATTAACTGGTCAGCGTGCCGCTTCCTTCCCGGCTCCGGTCCCCTGATAACCGTGGGCACCCTGGACGCAGCGCCTGTGACGCTGGCGGGCAGTTCCTCCTTTTCCAGCAGCGGCCTCTGTACCGCGCACCTGTCCAGAGCCCGGCGCGCTGAGCACGGGGACACGACGAGCTGGGTGACCCGGCGGCCACGAGGTGCAGCGACAGTACACTAAGCGTAGCTCCGAAGGGGGACGGTGGGGCAGGGACACAGCGCACGTTCCGCCCTCTCCTCCCCTCCCTTCTCGGCGCCCCCCACACAGGTCCTTCCCCTCTCCTCCCCCAGAGCGCACACTCACTCCCACGCGCTGGCTCGCTCACTAGCGGACCCGGGACGTAGGAGGTCAGGCCGGGAAGCTGGTGGGGCAGCGGAACGCTCCGTCCGAGGCCCGCCAGGACCCTACCCGACCCGTCCAGCTCCCGCGCTCCTCTCACAAACTTTCCGCCCTGGCATACGTCACCGCGCACGGGCGGCGCTAGCCAATCAGGCTACGGGGAAAAGAGACAGGCATCTCATTGACCCCGCCCACCGCAGGGTGGGGACTTGCTTCGTGGCTCGAGATCTCCTCAGTGACTTCCTGAAAGCAGCAGCAAAAAGCTGGCGCTTGGATGCGCAGTCCCGGCTGACACCACCCGAGAATAGCCAGGAGGGGGCGCGCGCCACCAGGCCAAGGAGAACCAGGCCGTGCCTGCGTTCAGGCTGACCGGTAGTGGGTCCAACAGAGAAATCTGCTGTTAGAACCACGTACCCTTAGTCTCCTGTGTCAGCTCCACTTGCAACTTTTGTGGCCTTTCGAGTTCCTTCGCTTTGCCAGGGCTTCAGCTATAGTCATTACTAGTTCTAAAACTCGAGGCTCCCTGTTCTTGCAAGCTCAATGGCTGGAGCCCCGAGAAATGCAGATTCCCAGGCTCCACCAGGCCTACTGAATCTGAAAATCTGCGATGTTTCCCCAGACCGGTCCCCAGGCGAGTCTGATGCCGGCGAAGTTTGGGTATCACTGCCTTAGGCAGTACCTGCATGTTGCCATGTAGGAAAAGAGCAAGCGTAATATATGTATACATCCACACCTATATACAGCTTTATCTGCCTGTGACGCCAATAATTCTTCTCTGAACTGCTGATGCTTTTCTCTCTGGTGTCTTTAGTTTTCTGTGCAAAGTGTCACGTCTGGCTTTCCCATCCATCCAAAGACTCTGAGAACTTTGCTATGCCATATTGATTGACTAGAAAAAAGATTGGTTAGTTGGCAGGTTAATAGCCTGCCTGATCATGTTATAAAAATTCCAATAGAGCTGGGTGCTGGTGGCTCACGCCTGTAATCCTAGCTACTTGGGAGGCTGAGATTCAAGGATTGTGGTCGGACGTCAGCCCAGGCAAACAGATCATGAGACCCCCATCTTCAAAATAAGCAGAGCAAAATGGAATGGAGGAGTGGCTTAAGGTGTAGAGTGCCTGCTTTGCAAGTGTAAAGCCCTGAGTTCAAACCCCAGTCACATCAAATAAACAAACAAATAAATAGAACTCCAATGGAATATGTTGGGTGAGGGCTAGCATGTGCAAGGGCCTAGATTTGACTCCCAGCAGGTGCAAGAGTGGGCATATTTACATTGGGTTGTGGAAGCTTGGGTAATTGAAGGGGATTTCCAAAAGAAAGTTTACCAGGTACTTAAAAGCTGCTTTTGCTGAGGAGCACTGACTCCTACTCTACTTGGGTCCTCCAATTAATAGAAGGTAGGATTGCATCCCAACCTCCATTTTGTATCTATGTCATTGTGCTGAGCCATTCTCTCCTGCAGTCACTTTGTGGCCATCTTTGAACCAGGGAAGGACCAGACAGGGGACAAAGACTACCTGCTAAGCAGCAATGACTCTTCTTGTAACGAGGCCCCATCCTGATCAATGCTGAGACAAGAGCTGCCCAACCTGTAACAAAAGGGATAGCTAAACTGTGTTTTGCAGAATGTGTTTTGTGAACTCAGGGCATAAACCTTGAGCCACTCCACCAGCCCTTTTTTGTGACATGTTTTTTCGAGAAAGGGTCTTGTGAATTATTTGCCCAGGCTGCCTTGAACCGGGATCCTCCTGATTTCTGTCTTCTGAATAGGTAGAATTACAGGCGTGAGTCACTGGCACCCAGCTAGATGGCTTTTTAAAGGTCCATTTCGATGCTGTGTTTTGTCTGGTGGAGTGGCTCAAGCAGTAAGAGCACCTGCCTAGAAACTGTGAAGCCCTAAGTTCAAACTCCAGGGCTGCCAAAAAAACAAACAAACAAAAAAAGGTCAATGCTGTGTTTTAATGATTTTGTTTTGCAGCAAGTTTTGGTTGGGACAGATGTATTTTCAAAGATAGCTGCCATGTGACATGACCTTCTTGTAATGTGATATTAATATTTCTCCATCAACGGGTGGGAACTATGTTGTCTTCCCCACCCCTCTTGTAGTCTCTGGGTCTCTTGTAGTCTCTGGGGATGGAACCCAGAGCCTTGCCTGTGCTAAGGTAGGTCTATACCATGAGCCACACTCTCAGTCCTGTTTTCATGTTTTAGATCAGGGAGATCTTTGCAACTGCAACTGCCTTGACCAGGAGAATTTGGCAGAAGTTGATGCTGCATAGCTTCTGGGACCAAGTATTAAAGGGCAACGCAGCTTCCCCCTGGTGCTCTTTTTCTCTTGAGCTCTGTCCCTGGGGAGCCATCAGCTGCTGTGTAAGAAGTCTGTCTGACTGCAGCTGCTATGCTGCAGAGGCCATGTGGAAAGAGATCATAGCTGAGAAACTCCAGCAGCCCCAGATGTCTGAGCTGAACGAGTCTTCAGATTTTCACCTGTCCCAACTACCATGAGTAGGAGCAGGACAGTTGTCCCTGCCAAACTCTGCCCAGATTGCAGATTTGTGAACAAAATAAATGTTTTAGGCCCTAAGTTTTGGAGTGATTTGTTACTTATCATTAGGTGACTGGAGCATCATTTCATTACCACAAACCTTGGCAATGATTTTTATTAACATTCCGTGTTATAGATTTGAGTTCAAGCACAGATAACTTCATCACACAAGTATCAGCTACTCAGAGACTTCTTTTCTCTGGGACTAACTGTATTCCCAGTCATCACTTCTCCTTTGCTGGGGATCTGGACTCCAGCTCTGCTTCCTTATCTAATAGAGGCATGATCTTCTCTGGGCTTTGGGTGCATTCTGTATTCTTAAGAGAGAATTCAGTGTTTGCCTGAAGGCAAAGGGATAGATCAAACAATGTGGGGGACCCTTTTCACTTCTAAGATCTTTGATTCTAGCTAATATTCATCAGATAAAATGATTTTCCAGAGAAATACTTCTACTCTGTAAAGAAGTATTTAAAGAAATGTTAGAAGAAAGAAAGAAAGAAAAAGAGGGCTAGAGGTGTGATTCAAGCAGTAGAGTGCCTGGTCAGGAAGTGCAAAGCACTGAATTCAAACACCTGTACTGTCACCTGATGGGTGGTCTAAGGAGATCTTGGTCCAGAAGAGTTCAGGTACTTGTATCCCACAAGATACAAATGCAGGCAGGCCATGAAAATGTAGTGAAAGTGGTAGTAAAGTTTAGTGAGGGAAGGACCGCAAAAGAAAAATCGGTGGGCCCAGCTATATGAGTTGGAAGTGCCCATCTTTGTATTAAAAGGCCTTTATAAATTGAAAGAGCAAAGGGCAGGAAAAATCTGGGCGGTCTTTGTGGGATGGGCTAGGGTGATGGACAGGCTTGGTGGACAAGGTCTTGTCATACAATGTAGGGTACTCTGCACTTGCACTTATGATAGCTCTCAGGTATTTTACATGTTATGAGGTGTGATCAATATTCATGTTTTAAGCAGAGGGCTTTTACCCAAGAGGTAGTCAAGGGCAGAATTCCCCAAAGGATTGAGAATTGAAGAGGATTCTATAACAGCTAAGATTTTACAACTGAATAGAAGTTTATAGCTGGACACTGGTAACTCACACCTGTAATCCTTGCTGCTCAGGAGAGGCAGAGATCAGGAGGGTCACAGCTTGAAGCCAGCCTGGGCAAACAGTTTGCAAGACCCTATCTCAAAAATACCTATCACAAAAAAGGGCTGGTGGAGTGGCTCAAAGTGTAGGCCCTGAGTTCAAACTCCAGGAACAAAAAAAAAAAGAAATTTACAACTGCTGCAAAGGATGGCATTGGGCTGAGGCAAGGAGTTTATTAGCAAGAAACACTGAGGAAAGTCCCATGATGACTTTTCCCTGTTACTAGCCTGCATCAGTACTGCCTGCCCTCAACCCCCCCTCCCCCCCGCAAAAAAAAATAAAAGAGAGAGCTAGAGAGCGCTACGTGAGAGAAACAGCTCAGAGTTTTGGTGAAACTATTGGTCAGAGGTACTATAAGTTCAGAAAGGTGGGAGAAAAGGCATGTCTTATTAACACATATGTAGACAGTGTCTAATTGACAATGATATTACATGTCACTATGAAGAAAGGAGGAAATCAGGGATACTTGCTTGATGTGTACTCACTGTACCACATAGCCACAGGATGGAATCCCATCCATTAAAATGACATCTAACACACGAAGACCAGTGGAACAGAATAGAGGACCCAGATATGAATCCATACAACTATGCCCACCTCATTTTTGACAAAGGTGCTAAAAATATACGATGGAGAAAAGACAGCCTCTTCAACAAATGTTGCTGGGAAAAGTGGTTAACCATCTGGAAAAAACAAACTAGATCCATGTTTATGACCCTGTACTAGTATCAACTCAAAATGGATCAAGGACCTTAATATCAGACCTGAAACTCTAAAGTTGGTACAGGAAAGAGCAGGAAACACTCTGGAAGTAATAGATATAGGCGAGGACTTCCTCAATAGAACCCCAGCAGCTCAGCAACTCAGAGAAAGGATGGACAAATGGGACTTCATAAAACTAAAAAGTTTCTGTACAACAAAAGAAATGGTCTCTAAACTGAAGAGACCACTCACAGAGTGGGAGAAAATATTTGCCAGCTACACATCAGACAAAGGAATGATAACCAGAATATACAGGCAACTCAAAAAACTAAATTCTCCCAAAACTAATGAACCAATAAAGAAATGGGCAACTGAACTAAACAGAACTTTCTCAAAAGAAAAAATTCAAATGGCCAAAAAAACACATGAAAAAATGCTCACCATCTCTAGAAATAAAGGAAATGCAAATCAAAACCACACTAAGATTCCACCTCACCCCTGTTAGAATAGCCATCATTAAAAATACCACTAATAACAGGTGTGGTGAGGATGTGGGGAAAAAGAAACCC